TGAATTGATTAAAAAATCACTCTCCAAAACTCAGTTAATAATATTATTAATGGCAGAAAATCGCAAATAACCAAAAAAGCAATAAATAGCCATAATAATAGTATTATGTTAATTTGGAGACTAAATATGAAAAACAATAGTTAAAACTTGTTAACCTTTAAAACATTTTTGGATATCACTTCAAAATTTAATAAAACTTAAGTCCAAAAATAAATGCCACATAAATCAATTTGGAAACAATTCATGACTTAATACCATAAAAATGATGTTATCATTAAATAAAATATTAATAGTAATAAGGAGCATTATAATCACTATGAACATTTTTAATAATGACAAACATGGTAATACATATCTTAATGTTTCCATATTCTTAAGGATAAAATGTGACTAGTTCAAAATGGTTAACAGCTATAACAGTAGTTACCAATAATAATAAACTGTAATTAATGATTTGCGTACCTTAATGATGCAAACTGCATCTATCGATAGCACTGACAGCGATAGCGAAGAAAGCCTCCAAAATCTCCCATCTTCACGGAGAGTTTAGTTGAATCGCCCAATGGTACGTAACAGTTTATTGGTAACACTTAATTACCATTATTAATAATAATGAAAAATGAAGTGACATGAGTAATCTTACCAATATACCAAATATAGTAGATTACCATGAATGAATAATTATTATGAAAGATAATAAATGAGATTAGCCCCTCAACTTAATATAGCAGTAATCATTAATGTAAATTAACAATAACCACAATAAATGTAAAACTGTAATTAAGGGATGCTAAATACTAATCTCAATTTACCACATAATAATTAATCAAGACTGTAATGAGTCGGAGACTAAAATTAAGGTATAACCAAATTACCAATAATATAAAGGCAATATAACTATGTACATTGCTTACCATTAAGAAAACAGAATATTATTGTTAAGGCCCTTACAACTATTAATAGATTAAAAACATAATTAACTTAAATAATAGTTATAATTCGTAATGGCCAAAACAATAATTATAAGTCTTAATGACTTCAAATGGTAATTGTAATCCTTAGATACTTAATGACTCAAAATCAAACAATGATAATAATTATAGCACAAAATTGCTTAAGTCAGGCCCATAAACTTTAATGTCCCAAGTTAATTATAACATGAATGATAAATGCTCTAATATGGAAATAGATCCAAACATTATATTATCACCAACGATAAATACCGTTATAAAAAATACGGTAGTTAGTAATAATTGAACCTTAATAAACATGTTATAATCAAATAAAAGGAATGTGCTACAATTATTATTAAAATATCAATCAAATAATAGTAGGATCCATACTGACCAAGATAGGTCCTAAATAGCTTGTTCAAAATAGGTTTTAAAGTCCCAAGTGAAAATTAGGACTAAAATATGCTCAAAATTAAATGAGAAAACCAAACAAACCACCTTAATGGGCTATAATGTGGTTCCTGCATTTATTTTTTTCGGCAACATTGCACTAACTCTTTGATCTAATTCAAAACTCTTAAACATAATAGACACCAACAAAGATAAAATTTTAACCTTATTATTAATTGTCTTAAACTGCTGGTAAAGGTTAGGGTATTTGAAATAGAGATGAGGGAGAACAAGTGGGGGGAGAGTGCAAGTTTCAATGATTAGGTTAAGCTTAAGCATGATCCATTCACTAAAGAATGTTTAAAATGGGGATTAAACTAATAATTATTTAATTAAATTGTTTGTAATTGAGAAGTTTCCTTGATGCATGGACATTCTTTATCTTAAGGTATCATTATAGGGATCAGTTAACAATGGTTTTCCTTGATGGTGTCGGAGGATTAAGATAATAATTTTTATTTTATTATTTTTAATGTTGGCTTTTGGATAAAATATGGTGCGGAGTCTAACGTGGCAGATGGACCGTAGAATGCGGGGAGAGTCACGTGATTTAAAAACTGCCTGCCTACCACATCGTTCGCCTCCCAAATCACGTGGCCAACTCATGGTGCGATTGTGGTGGGGCCCCTCCCATTATACGCATCCAATTTTTTTTTTTCTTGATTTATTATGAGGAATTATTATTTAAAATAAAAAAGAGTGGTTTGCATTGGTGGCTTCTCCCTTTCAACCCTTTGAGGTGTTTTATTTTATTCAACAAAATTTTTAAAAAGTAATGAAGCTTTGATACATGAATATGGTAACTTGGATTAGAAGTTTTGCACAACATTGCTTACTTAATTTTTTGTTTTCTGAATGTTATTACAAATTCGTAATTTTGATTTACATTAGAGTCTGCAACAACTATTTCAAGGTGCGTTTTAAATGAAACTCAGATTGTGATTTTAGTCAGTAAAAAACTATAAGAAGATAAATCAGTCTGAGTGATTTGTAGTTGAACGACTCAAATTGAACATTTGACTGCAGTTATACTAATACTAAATTTAATATTATGAAAAAATTGAATTAAAAATAACTTTAATCAAATTTTGTTAATTGAATCAGAGTGAAGTAATTGAATAAATGAAAATGAAGGGGTAAAAGTAGAATTTTAGATTGGACATGTGATTGGAGAAAGGGAGTGGGGGGAATGGAGTGATCTTGCTATTAGCACACGTCTGCTTTATAACACATAAATGACGTGACGGGACCGGGTGGGGTCCAGCTTGTGAGAGGTGGGTGTACGCCCCGCACGTGAGCTGAGAGAAACCACGAGTCGCTCACGTGCGCCCATCCCCTGCCGTTAATCTGTCGCTTTGCTTGCCGGATCGCGTGCGGTGGGGACCTCCCACTTACGTTGAATTCCGTGTTAAGTTCTTAACGCCGTTACGCTCCGCCTATCGCCTGTCGTTATTGTTATCTCGCCCGTTTACTGCGCTGCCAAATCGCTTTTTCTCCAAATAGGTTAATCGTTTTCACTTTTCACCAAATATCATGTTTATGTGAATAATAATCGCATTTAATGAATTAATTATTAATTATATTGATTTGATAAATACAAATACCTTTATTAAATACAAATGTTTATTAAAAATTTTAACTGAAAATAAGATGATTTCTTACGACTTATTTGACCAAAAATTACTTATATCTCAGATCAATCGTATCTTTCAAAATCTCTAGTCTTCAATCATATCCATTTAAATTTATCAGATATTTGTTTTGATAATTATAAATTTTAACCAGAGATCGATCCATAATGCATATTCAAGTATCAATTACAGACTTTTTCATATATCAAAACAATTTTTGACTGAGTTTTATACAATATCAAGATGCATCATTATTTGCATCTCTAGTACCAAAAAAAGGATTATTATCAAAGTGAGGGGGTTCCTTGCGCAGTGAGCACCGGTCTAGCCTCTGTGGTTCATGTTTAGTTGAGTTACCATGATTTACATCCTCCCAAATGTCTTATTGGGTCGGAGTGTGGGGGCCCCTTAGGGTTGGAGTTCAACTTTTTGGAAGAAAAAAAAGGATTATTAGTTTAATTTGATTTTTTTAAATTATTAATGATGCCTGACATATTCATTGTACATGGAATGTAGAATGACTTCCTTTAATTCCTATAAAAAATTAAATTATTATTTTTTCCAAATTAAATTGTAAATTTTGTTTTCTTTATTATGGAGTTGGAATATTTATTATTCTATAGAAAAGTTGGAGAAGGGATAAGGGGGTAATATGGGCACAATTTTTGGTAACATAATCAAGCTTAGGAGCATCGTTGGTGATACGTGAAACCACGTGCTTCGAGTCCTAGGCGGTTGCGTCGCTCTCATCCTCGTGACGGTGTCACGTGGGACACACTTTAATCTTGGGACCCACACTTCTCCAAAACGCAACTTTTATTTTCTACATAAAATGATTAATGTTTTTTTTTTTTTTTTTTTTTTTAAATTTGGAATATTCGTTGGCTACAATTGCAACCACAATACCACATTATAATATTAGTATAATCCCATCCCTCATAATATATTTATTATAGTAATTAATATAAGAGTAAGTAACGGCGTTCCACTTAATTTTAATGTGTTCATTTTTATTTGATTTTGTTGTTAAAATATAATTATATTGTTAAATATATCTTTAAGATTAACTCGAAAATTTAAATTTTTTTTTCAATTTTTTTTTTTTGTGTCAAGAAAAATTCGCTAGGTATGCACTAGGTGAATATGTTCATGTGTAATAATCTACCAATTACCAAAAAAAAAAAAATCACTCTAAAAAAACTTTATACTACAGACTCAATCTCGTGTGTTTTCAATAATTTTTATGATATTACTATGTAAAATTAGCTTAATTAGTACGATTAATCACTGAGAGACTTTAATCGATTAGAGGTGATGGAAACACCTTAATCGATTAGAAGTGATGAAAACTCTTTTTGCCGGCTCAGAAACTTGATGTATCAAAAAAATGATATTAGTAAAGGGTGGGAAGGGGTCATTTTCCAGAAGTGGGGGCATGTGCATTGCTTTCCCCAAGTGACCTGTTGTACATAGGTCCAATGAAATTCCTGCTGACGTGGCTCTATCACGTGTAATTATAGGGGATTTATAGGTTCCTTTTTTGATACTCCGTATTCTCTTTCTTATTACCCATTTATAATTAGTGCAAAAAAACACCCAAAAAAAATTAGAAACTAAATTTCACTTTGGTATTTTTGTGGGCAAGCATTTATGGGCTTTGAAAGCCAACTTAGCCCAAAATGAAATCCTAAAATGGGCTATGCTACTCAAATCCATAGGCCCATCATCCCAAGTCCTTGATTGTCATTTCTGAAACAGTTTTTTTTTTTTTTTTTTTTTTTTTTCAAAGGTAAATCTTAACTTGATAATCACAATGTTTAAATTTGAAGTGTCTATTAGGCTTCTTGATTTCAACAGATCAATTATAGATAACTCACCAGACAAACTTCACCCAAAGTACAATTTTGTATAGCGACTACGTATTTTCTGAAGTTTACAACCCATCATGATTTTGGTAGACATGACAGATTTAAAGAGTTAATGTTATTACATTATTATTATCTACTAGACAATGACAAAAGATTCAAGGTACAAAAATATACAATGTGCATCCACTTGAGAGGCCAACAATCACCCCTCAACCAAAACTATACATATTCTAAAGTAAATGGTTCACCCCCTTCTCTCCAACATTATACTGCTGACAACATCTTTTACAAATAAGAAGAAACACTCTCTACAAGAGTTGGGCATTAAAGTGGATCTCCGAATTTCAGAAACTTCATTCACATGGAAGCATATGGAGTTTGGAAATGCAGGAATCCCAGGGCGTCGTTGCTCCAAACCACAAGCAGCTAAGATCGAATGAGTGGAGAGCCTTGCAATTTCTTTAAATTTCTCGGCTTCTGCAAAGAGATGGTTAATAACATCACATCAAGGCAAGATATATATGGAATATGCTTCAAACTCTTATTTGACAATCATGTTGATGAACATCATTTTTCACCTTCCCTACACTGGAGAGTAAAAGTTCTTTCCCCTTTTACTGTAGTAATGTATAGGCAGCAATTAATAATTTTGAAGGAACAAATAAAAAAAATGAAAATGATAACTATTACAATGTTCAATTCAAATGTATAAAGATGCAAAAAAAGACTATTTATGTGCAGCCACATCATTCTTGCAGTGAAATTGTGAAGTGCAGGTAAGATGTATTTAAAAGACAAAAAAAAGCAACCATACCTAGCTTTTTATCCTTGGATAGGAGTTTCAAATTGAGCTTGACTAGAGATTGAATCTCAGTCTTGGCTTCATATTCATCTTTAGCTTTTCTGCTCTCGTCAAATTTTTCTGCCCCAACTTTATCCTTCAGATGTTTCGCCTTGTTTCTTGAGGAAGAGAGACCAAGTTCCTCTTCAGCATGACTAATACTTGAAACAGTTTGTGCTGACCTCATAGAAGAATCCGAGCCAGGCAATATGCTACGTAGGTCTTTCTTCTTCATGTGTCCACTTTTATCACAAGCAGTTGGTTGAAACGAAGCATGATCTTCCTTAGAAGATGTCATTTTGGAATGTAATGCCAAGTGAGTAGTTGAAAAACATTCCCGAACATTTGGTGGCACCTTCAAAGAAACGGTATCTTGCTTTTGTTGCTGTCCAGACATCTGAGATCTATTCATTTGGTAGTTTTTATCAAGAGGATGATACTGAAGATGACTTCCTGGTCCACTGTTACCAAGATGTTGCCTGTGCAATGAGAGAGAGTTTGAATGCCCTCCACCAGCTTCTGTGTCGGTATTCATTTTCTCTAAAAAGCCTTTTTTAACATTTGGAGACCGATTTAAAGTAACGTTTTCTTGCTTTTGTCGCTGTCCAGACGTCTGAGATCTATTCATATGGTAGTTTTTATTAAGAGGATGATACCGGTGAGGAACTTCCTGTCCAATACAATTGAAACCAGGTTGTTGCCTATGTGACAAGCGAGAGTTCAAATGCCCACCACAAGCTTCTGCACAGGTATTCATTTTCTTTGAAGCTTGTTTTGAGGCCTGAGTTAGTGTTTTGGAACTATCATGATTGCGCACCACTGACTTGGCAATATCCCACATCTTCCAGGCCTTGTTTATCTCATATGAACCTTTATCACAACCAGTTTCCGGTTTTTGTTTGGCAATACCACTGTCATGCTTTTTGCTAGAAGGGAAATACAGGGATCCACTCTGTAACCCATCCCAATTTTCGCGTAACGTGCGTATACGATCATTTACACCGCGGCAGTGCCACAGTGTTTTAGCAGACAACTTAGTTCTTGAAGAAGCCAACTCATCCACATCATTTGACAAAGTTTCTCTTTTGCTAGTAACAACTTGAGGTGATACACTACTTGTATCAGAATTAACTAAGGATAAACCCTCAACATAGCTGGTTTGTGGTTCTCGAACAATCTCATAAATAGACACAACTTCCCCTGTTGAAGATATCTGGCCATGGCATGCAGCAGATTTAAGTTGATTATCACAATCAGCACTTGTGTCAGTTTTGGCATGTTCAGTCCTCAGAAGACTGCAGTCTGAGCAAAACCAGTCACCCTCAGGGACAGTGGCACCAAGACCAACACAGTAAGTATGAGAAGCAGAATCACAAAGGTCACACAGTAGAAGAAGACAATCATCAGCAGAGCTATGGCACACATTGCATTGAACTTCTGAATATGGATCAAATGACCCAGTTGTCAAATTTCCAAAATAATTGTAAACCTGCACAGTACATGCTTCAAAATATGAAGAGCGTCAAAGAGGAAACTCTCAATGGTCTTGACTCTTACTTTCAGTTAATTGCTTGCATAACTCCTAAAATCTACTCTTTCCTATTTTATTATTTTTATCTATACAAAAGTGCTAGTAGTATATGTATATCTATAAAGAAAGATTGTGTGTGTGTATAAATAGATAGGTAAGTCTATAAAGATAGTGTGTTTTTAAAAAATAATAATAATACTCTGTAACTTATTCTAAATTCCAATCCATAAACTAACTTACAACTTTATAAAGATAGTGTGTATTTGTTATGATTCTGAGCTCAGTGAGGAATTCAGAATGGAAAAAGATTGATAACCAAAGAAGCACCATTTTGTTATTTCCTTTACATTTTTCCATTCCTTCCCTTCTAAGAGATGCATTAGTTGTTAGAGTTAGTATAGTTGAAGTTGTCTAGAACCCTTCTGAGGCACTTAATCTAGTCTAGTCAACTACTGGGGTTCAGGATTGAGGAAGGATTACATTGAGACGACAGCGTTTTGCTATTGCAATCAGTTTAGTTAAAACAACAACGTTTCAGCAAGTTCTCGCGCGAATTGTGTGAATTAAACACCAGAAAGGCGCCATTTTGGTATCACCTCTCTCTCTCTCTCTCTCTCTCTCTCTCTCACACACACACACACACATTATATTCTTATTTTACTTAATACTTCCTTCTGAGGCACTAGGATTCAGAATTGACTAATTGAGGAGGGATTAGATTGAGACGACAGCGTTTTTGCCATTGAAATCAGTCTAGTTAAACGACAACGTTTTGACCAAGTTTTCAGTGGCACATACCAAGGGCGCGAATTGTGTGAATTAAACACCAGAAAGGCGCCATTTTGGTATCACCTCTCTTTCTCTCTCTCTCTCTCATTCTATTCTTTTTTCTTCTTTTATTCCTTAATTCTTCCTTTCTTGCCCCATGCACTGGTCATTATAAAATATAAATCTTTTAGCTCTAGTTTGAGACTCTGAGGCACTATATCTAATATCTACTGTGTGGTGATCCTAAAATGCAGTGCAGAAAACATGATATAAGTATATAACCACTTCTCTCTGTTCATTTCTTCCTATTCATTCCAGTTAATTGAACTTATTACAGAATTCCACTTCAAAGTTATAGGCAAAATAGTAACCTTGTTTTACAGGTACAGAGAATTTACGCAAACAAGCAAAATTTTAAACAAAAAAGTGCAATTCCAGGCATAGATCATTCCAGACACAAGTAAAAACTTACCATAATTAATCACAGAAAATAAAATTAAAAAAAAAAATTGTAATCAGCCTGACCTGATCGCGAAGAGGGACGCGAACAACGCGCTCGGAAGGGAAGACGGGGGGTTTGGGAGGGCGGCGGATGGCGGAGAATCGGGCCTTGCATATGGGGCATCTGGACTCAACCTTGGACCACTCCATGATGCACAAGAAGCAGAAGAAATGCTCGCAGCTGTCGATGCATCCTTGAATTATGGCGGAGCCCTGCCCGGCTTCCGACAGGCAAATCCCGCAGCAGATTTCCGATTCCTCGCCCTCCGACTCCGAGATTTCCACTTTGGACTTCCCCTTATCGGACGACGAAGATTGAAGCAGCGGCGGCGGCTCTAGTGTTTTGAGGCGTTTGCTTGCCGGAGCATCTGCTTCGTCGCCGGCGGCCATTTCCTCCCGGCCGGAATGCAGTCGCAGTCGATTTCTTAGTTTTTAACGCTGAATCAAACCGGTGGCCACCCAGCTCCACTCTCCTCAGTCTCGCATGTACATAGAGATATCACCTCTGCCTTGCGCCAAAATAATGTATATTAATTTTAGTCCTCTCAAATTAAATTAAGATAAAATAAAAATTGGAGTTAATACACAATTTGGTTCCCTGACTATTAAAATTTCATCAATTTAGTCTTCGATTTTTAAAATTATTCAATTTAGTTCTTAATTATGTAATTTTTACTAAAAATAGTCTCTCGATTAATAAAATTTCATCACTTTGATCTTTGCCTACTAAAGTTGCACAATCTAGTCCCTAATTATGCAATTTTTATCTAAAATGGTCCATCGACTATTAGGATTTCACCACTTTAGTTTTTGATTACCAAAATTGTTCAATTTAGTACCCAAGTATTAAAATGTTAACCTAAATGTAAATTTAGTGTGAATTTGGGAATCTTTTTGAAGAGTCGATGAATCAAGTGGTGAAATAATGTATATATGCTTTGTACAAAATTGTAATTTTATTTTAGATCATACTTGGAGGGGATACCCCAAGGGTACAAGCTAATTTTTTTTTTTTTTTTGAAAGTAAACTGCTGCATATATTAATTGATCAAAGCCGAAAGAAAGGTTGGGGGATTATCCTCCCACACCAAAGAGTTTGCTTGTAACAAGGCTGACTGAGCTAACGAATGAGCTAAAACATTGAAAGTACGAGGAACATAAACAACTGAACAGTTAATAAAGGAGCTCATCAAGGCTCGACATGCTGAAACAGTTAAACCATCATACGTGCGAAACTCCGCGGGTGATTTTCCAAGAGCATGACACAAATTCGAACAATCTGACCGTAACACCACCTCTGTAATTCCACAACCCCTGAGCCAGGATAGTGCCTCTTTGCAAGCATAAGCCTCCGCCATAAATGGACCGTGGCATAACGGTAATGGTCCATTTTTAGCTGCAATAAAAACCCCATTCGCATCTTGAAGAAGAAGGCCAAAAGACGCCTCTTTTGTCATTTATAATTTTAGTCACCCTAACAATGGAGACTAGTACAAAATTATAATTTTAGTCCTCTCAAATTAAATTACGGAGTGAGATTAAAAAAAAAAAAAAAAAAACAAATTGTATGCATCTTCAATACAAAATTTTGAAATCATAAACGAATTACTGATACAATTATAATATTGTCTATACAAGAGTCAACTTTGTATTATACAAAAATCTTATACTATTTTGACAAAACCTTTCGTGTACATACATCTAAATTTAAACAGACCGCTAATAGCATCGAAAGTATTAGACAAGTGATTACGTAGTGAGTGATGTATAATTTTTGTATATGAAAGTTACAAGTTTGATTACTGCTGAAAATTTTCTCCGTCAAGAGTATTACATATGATCTTTTTAGTATGATTTATTTCTCTTACCATTTATATATCTCTTATCTGTAGTTTATGAACTATTATACATGAATGGAATTCCTTGGGAAAATGACACTTTTTCCCCCTGAGTTATATACCTATAGCACTTTTCCCCCCTCAGTTATTGAAGTGGTTGTTTTTCCCCTGAAATGTTAAATGGACATATTTACCCTTAAAATAAATATTTTATTTATTTTTCTTCTCCAACAAATTATGACCATAATTTGATTCAAACCAAACAAACACTATAGCAACCAAATCGAAATATTCCAATTACAATTTAGAATCGAAACCCGATATTTAAAGTTTACTAAATCGCAAACCGGAACGGACGGTTCATGTTCCGAACTGAAAAAATAAAATAAATTTATTGTTGAATTTAGACTATTTTAAAATAAAAAACAAAAATTTAAAATAAAGACGGTTCAAAATCGCGAACCGGATCTGGAACCCCCGGTTCACGGTTCAGCCGTTCAGGATCCAATTTGTTTGATTCATAATTTTAATAAATTGAAATCCAAATGTTGGGTTATAGATCTGAATCATAACCGAAAATTTTTAATTCGATTGCTTTAGTGTCCGGTGCAGTTCGAACCGAACCGTGGTCATCCCTACGTATACGCAATAATTTGTTGGAGAAGTAAAATAAATAAAATATTTACTTTAAGGGTAGAAATGTCATTTTAATATATCAGGGGGAAAAACCACCACTTTTATAATAATTGAAGGGGCTAATGTGCTTACCTAAATAATTGAGGGGGAAAAAGTGCTATAAGTATGTAACTCAGGGGGAAAAAGTGCCATTTTCCCGAATTCCTTTCAAAAAAAAAAAAAATACATAAATGAAGTTTATGCAGGGCACATCATCATTGATAGCGATTGTGTCAAAAATAAAATAAAAAAATAGCTAGTATATATAACCAGTATAGCAATTTAGGGAGAAATTAATTAATTTCATTAATGGTGAGTGAATAAACGGTGGAATAATTGATTTGGGAACAATAAACGGTGGAAAACTAGCTAAATTCAACGAGATTCCATTTAATGTATTTTAATAATTGATTTATTGATTTGTGTTTAATTCTCTCTGATTTTAGGGATAAATTTACCATGTTCGGTCTTAGTATCATAATTGTAAGTGAGGTATTTATAGGAAAAAAGAATAGACAAATAGCGGGCTCTCACCATACCTGACACGTGCCGCGCATGCAATCAGCCAATCTGGGAACAGCGTCACAATGTCCACGTGTTGCAATATTCTTGGTCATCCACTAAGTGATGTGTTCGATTAGAAGTCAATAACTTGGGTCTTAGTCTTGCTCGGGATGAACGTCTCGATCCTAGGACCGGCGAAGTCTAACGTTGACCAAGTATTTGCTTGGTTGTCACATTTAGGTCAGGCATGGCAAGTTCATGATCGGTTAAGGTAGGAAAAAATTTCTCTCGGTGACTTGATTAAATACCGAGCAGGTATACAGTACGTAAAGAGAGGTACACTTACGACTCCCCAAATCCGTGCCATGATGTCGATTTGGCAATGTGAGTCTTAAAGTCACGTCACTGTTGCCTAGGGATCCGCTCCAAAGTTTAAATTTTCCAACTGCTAATCGTTTATAAATAGGACATAGTGGTAGGCCAAATTTGAGCTTTCTTCATTGCAAACTCGAGAGCTTCCCAAGCTTATAGACACGCAAAGAACTCCTTGTCCAAGTTTAGTGAATTACACAATGACTTTCTAAATATGCGTCTTTATAGGACAACAACTTTAATTAATTGTGTAATGGTAGACTTAGGTTGTCAACTCAAAAGAAAGAAAGAAAAACACTACAAATTGAAGACGACAAGAGCGTTGAAATGGTGTTAAAGTTGATAGAATTTGAGTTGTTTAAGTATGCCATTAAAACTTTAAATTTAGATGTAAGCAACATATTTGAAAAATTATTTCTAAATAAGATTTAATTGAGACCAGATGAATTGTATCTGCAAATTAATTGAGAAATGTAAATACTTAATAACTAATTGAAAATATTACATGTATTTTCATTTTCTATTCTGAACTTTTACTTCCGTATATAAAATATAGATATTTATATTCAGACTCACATAAATAAATAAAAAATAATAATTAATATCCGTCACATCAAGAATAAAATTTAGTAAGTATAATTTGGGCCTACGAACTCCTATATATATTTTCTTCCGCCACCCAATATTGTCTGGTTAGCATATATCATCCTCTGTTCAATCAGATTACCACCTATCCCGCCGTGAATGGCTCCTCCGACCACCACCGTGTCAGAACGCCGGAGCCGCCGGGTACACGTCCTGGTATTCCCGTATCCAGCTCAAGGCCACATGCTACCTCTCTTAGATTTCACTCACCAACTCGCCCTCCGTAACGTCGTCATTACCGTACTCGTCACCCCCAAAAATCTCCCTCTTTTGTCCCCTCTTCTCTCACGCCACCCCTCCATCAACACCCTCGTTTTGCCTTTTCCGGCCAACCCTTCCATCCCCGCCGGGGTCGAGAACGCCAAGGATCTCCCTCCTAGTGGCTTCCGTGTCTTGATGGTCACTCTCGGCGGCCTCCAAGGCCAAATCGTCGACTGGTTCCGCCGCCACCCTTCTCCGCCCACTGCTATTATCTCCGATATATTCGTGGGTTTCACCCACCGCCTTGCCGCGGAGGTCGGCGTTCGACGATACGTTTTCTCCCCGTCCGGCGCGATGGCCATGTCCGTTATCTTCAGCCTGTGGCGTGAGATGCCCAAACGCAAGAATCCGAACGATGAGAGTGAGGTTTTCCGTTTTCCCAATGTTCCTAATTCTCCCGAATTCCCATGGTGGCAGCTCTCTCCGGTTTACCGGAGCTACGTGGAGGGAGACCCGAGCTCCGAGTTTATCAGACAGATGTACTTCGACAACACGGTGAGTTATGGGGTGTTGTTCAACTCGTTCAGTGCGGCGGAAGGGGTGTATTTGGACTATCTGAGGACGTATTTGGGGCACGACCGGATCTGGTCCGTCGGCCCCCTTCTGCCGCCGGACGGCCCGGCGGAGAGGGGCGGATCCGCCGCAGTTTCCGCCGCCGACATACTGAGTTGGCTCGACTCGCGCGAGGACAACTCAGTGATTTACGTCTGCTTCGGCAGCCAGGCAGTCTTAACCGACCAGCAAATGGAGGCCCTAGCGGCGGGGCTAGAAAAGAGCGGAGTCAACTTTCTATGGTCAACCAAGGGCCCCACCAAGGGCCACGTGGGCGAAGGATACGGAACAATACCGCCTGGGTTCCAACAACGGGTGGGCCCGAGAGGGCTGGTCATCCAAGGCTGGGTCCCACAAACGCTGATCCTAAACCACCCCGCCGTGGCGGCGTTTTTAACCCATTGCGGCTGGAATTCAACGATGGAAGGCGTAATCGCCGGCGTGCCGTTGCTGACGTGGCCGATGGGAGCCGATCAATACACTAACGCTAACCTCCTGGTGGACGAGCATAAAGTTGCGGTCAGAGCGAGTGAGGGTGATAAGACCGTTCCCGACTCGGACGAGTTGGCTGGTTTACTCAGCAAAGCCGTGAAAGAGAAAGGAGCAGAGGTGAGGGCTAATGCACTGCGGCTGAGAACGGCGGCGATGGATGCTATCAAGGACGGTGGAGATTCCTTCAACAATCTCGACAACTTCGTCAAACATTTGTACGAAGAGGCTTCGGAAATTCCTAAGGAATCTTCGAACTCTCCGATGATTTCCGCCCCGGTTCCGGCATTTGCTGCTTAGTATAAAGACGTGTGAATTCACCATCACTGTATTACATACAAGTTACTGGTTAAGGTTTCATGTCTTATGTTTCTTAATTTGGTGTTTTAATGGACCTATTATTACTATAGAAGACTATTAAGTCTTTTTTTTTTTTTTAGTAAATTCTAATTTCATTTTTGATAAGAGTATATAATTAATTATATATTAGTAATTGTCTAGTGCGATGCACGTACTATTATTAATTTAACAAATTTATCAATTAAATTTTTGACATACTCTAAATTAGCAAAGAAATTAATGGCTGTGGAAACAGAAAAACTTACCTGAGTTCTTCCGCTCCTAGAAATATTCATCATCCCTAGATTGCACTGTATAAAGCTTATAGGAGATCTAAGCTCCCAAAAATATTATTCTCCCTATTCTAGTCACGATCATCCTCCTCATTCCAACCACAACAAAAACATAATTGTAGTATTATATTGGTTGTGGATGATGACTTATTTATAATGTTGAAGTAGGTGTAGATGTTCATGTAAATATTGAAACATGTGGTTATTGAAATTTGTAAGAATGTTTTATTTATTGCAATAAATGTGAACACAGTTAATGTATTCATACTTTGCTAATGTCATTTGCAATTGATGTGGAGATACTAAATGCTTATATGGGCATCCTCAATAGATAAGTTTTTTAGCACAAGTTTTTAGGTGCCAAATAAGATAGAGGAGAGAAAAAAATATGTGAAAAAATAAAAAGAAAAAAAAAACAAAGCTCGAACAAAAAATTGACCCGCAAACTTCCTTCTCTCTCTTAGTGAGACCCACAAACTCTGAAAAAACTTCGGCAGGACCCTACTCCTTCTCCCTCCTCTCTCTCTCTCTTTTAAGTCGACATTTTTTTCCTAAAAAACTGTGAACAATCCCTTAATGGGGATACTCTTAGAAACATAACATAAGTATTGCAATGTTAATTTTTAATTATGGATCAACAATTATACTCAAATTAATTTTGTGAATTACTCTCCACTCCACTAAACTCTTTTATTATTATTCACTTTGATTTTCTTTCATCTTTATTTAATATTTATGATGATTATGAAGTTCCTAAATCCTTGATATTTCATAACTCTCAAATGCACCAAATGGAAGGAAATTTTTTTTCCCTGAATTCTGCTAACAATCTCCTTAATGGGGATGCTCTTAGAAACATAACATAATTATTGCAATGTTAATTTTTAATTATGAATCAACAATTATTACTCAAATTAATTTTGTGAATTACTCTCCACTACACTACACTCTTTTTTATTATTATTCACTTTGATTTTCTTTCATCTTTATTTAATTATTTATGATGATTATGAAGTTTCTAAACTCTTGATATTCCATAACTCTCAAATGCATCAAATGGAGGGAAAAAATTTTCACCTTGATTTCTCTATATTATATATAGAGATGAATTGATAAATTGTCATCCAATCACCGTAAAGAAAGACCCCTTATAATATTTTAGTTACGACTTTAGTAGTTGTTTTCGTCACTAATTATTCGGTGTACACACGTTTAATTAGCCTCTAAATATTATGAATAGTTGCATATTTAATTTAATCCCCACCTAACATCTATTGATTCTAAGTGCTATTATGAAAGCTTTATCACTTTATTAACATCTATTGAGCACACGAGGAAATGTCTACCAATTTAAATATTTAATAATTGTTATTTGGAGTTAAAGATTTTGTTAAATGAGTAATTTTTAATGATAACTTAGAACTAAATGTGTATTAACCAAACAGCTGAAGACAAGAATATTTCATTTGATCTTTATCTCGAGATGAGTGACCCAGTGAGTAGACAGTCGTTATATCGTAGACCACGGTTAAAACGGTGCCGTTTCTTTAAGTAAAGAAACGGCGCGCCGTTACTGTTAACGGAGTGCGCATTTTTTATGTGTTAATTACCAACTGAACTACAGTGTATCTAAACTGACACTATAGTATATCTAAACCGACATTGCCTCACGTATTATTTTATATATTATCAAATGAAACTGCAGTTATATTAAAATGATATTATAGTTATGGTGAAATGAAACTGCAATGTATATAAAATGAAACTGAATAATATTTCACATATTTGACTGTATATTGTGCAATGAAGCTGTAGTTATATCGAAATGATCATGTAGTTGTGTTTTAATGAAAGTATAGTGTATATAAAATAAAATTAAATAACATTTTCACATATTTGAGTGCATAAATATCGAATAAAGCTATAGTTATATCGAAATGAGACTGTAGTTGTTGAATTGAAACTGCAGTGTATACAAAATGAAACTGAATAACAGAGTTACTTTTTTGAGAAACGGGTGTCGTTTCTTTTCATTAAACAAAACGGCGCAAAGCTCGGTGCATGATCGATTATGCAGCGTGGTGAACGATATAATTTGCCATGAGTAGAGCATAATTTTTGTCTAAAAAAATTACAAGTTTTATTAATATGAGGCGATCGAGTGAGTCAAACAAAATTCTAATACCAAAAGATTAGAAATTTGATTCTTTAACACCTAGCTATTGAGATTTTACTAGTTGTCTTTAGACACTTTTTTACTCTCCTTGGAACTATAAACAGGCACAGTTCTCTTCCCTTCCTTCTTCTTCTTAACCCATGGCGTCTTAACCTTGTAGCTGGAGCTACTACTCTCACCATTCCGGCCGGCGTTGTGCTTCCGGCGGTGAGTATGGCCGGACGAGGCATCAGAAGCCATGGAATCATCATCATCATCCTTGTCGTCGTCGACGTGGCAATCATCTTCTTCATCACTGTTTTGTCCAATGGAATCTCCATTGCTGAATTCTTCGGAGGAATCATCATTGTTTGAGGGAGAAGCAAGATAGGTTGTCCAACCAGATTCATTGCTGCTGTGACATTCTTCTTCTTCTTCAGCAGCCTCTCCAAACATCTGGGAAGCAGACTCCATTTTTGGTGCAGCTTCCTTAATTAACTTCTCCTCTGATCCTGGCTGCCTAAACCTACTAATCAAACAAATATATTTATAGTAATTTTTGTCCAAATGTCAAACACTCAAACATGTGAAAATCATGCATCTGTAATCATTATGAACATGAATTATGTGTATTATATAACTGATGACACATAAATACTTAACATAATAGGCAGAATTCATGTTCATTATATTATATTTATGTGTATGTGTATTATGTATTAGACTAGGGTCCGCAGTACACTTAGACCTAGCAATTATGAACATGACCCGTTAACACAACACGAAACCAGACACGAAAATAACGGGTTAGTGTTTAGCCTTAACGTGTCCTAGGTCATTAAGGCGTTGACCCGTTATGTTTCGTGTCTTAACGGGTCAACCCGTTAAACATATTAAGAACTCGTTTAACCCGTTAATATTATCGTGTTAACCCGTTAACACGAACCCGTTTACCAAACCTGTTTATAACCGTTAAGAATCATTGTCATTTAGGTAAGAATTATTGTCATTATTGAGATTACAAAAGATATTATGAACATGACTAATGATGAATTTACTACATTAGGCCAAGATCCTACACCAATTAATTGATGTTCAACAATTTGAAATTTGAATTTTATTGTGTTCAATTTTATTCTAAAAACTTGTATAGACTCCTTTAATTATGATTTTGAAAGTTATTTTATCTTTTTATAAATGTTATGAATTGAATATTTTTACTTTGTTTGATGAATTTAACGGTAGTTTTTATTTATTTATTTATTTTTATATAGAACTTAACTTTAAATTTTACTGTAGTTTTTTTAAAAGTATATTAATAGAAATAGCGGGTTTAAACGGGTTTCGTGTCGACGCGACTTGAAACCTGTTAACAAAATGTGTCTATTGTGTCAACCCGTTTAACCGGTTAACAAATCGTGTTCGTGTTAAAAATTTGAACCCATTAACCATAACGTGTCGTGTCCGTGTTTAGCCTTATCGTGTTCGTGTCTTTATCGTGTCGACCCGTTAACGGATTTGTATACACGAATTGCCAGGTCTAGGGTACACTGGTCCACGATATAATGATTGACCTTAAATGTCAAAACTTGATTTGGTAAATCTTGATCTTTTAAATTTGTCTCCCTTGCTTTATGGCTTTGTTCATGCATGTTCTCTTCTCACATTAATGTTGCAAATCTGCAAAAACACACCCCATATTGTGGCTAAGCATATATTTATATATTCATTTGTGGACAAAAATAACATTTAATTTCACACTAACCCTTTGTTTTGACTTGAATAATTAAGACACATCTCACTAGGTGATAGGTTTTTTCATTTGTAAAATTATATGATATATAGTTCCATTTTTTCCTTTGTACATAGAGAAAGTGAAACAAAAAATATTAAATAAATATAAACAAAACCACACTACGATCATGGAGTATATACCTCGTAGAGGGGTGTCAGTCAAAGAAATAAAAATTATAAGAAAGATGTTTGCGATTAGTAGCCATCTAATTTTTTAATTTTGTGCAGGAGTTTGCCTCTCTATGAATGTATTTAATGGTGCAAATCTACATACACACATACATACATATGTATAGGATGTATGCAGTATGTATGTATAGAGAGAGAGAAATAGAGAGTATTATTATGTTTAGTTGTCACGTATTATTGTAGTGAGGTGACTAGTAAATATATTTATTGATATAAATATGTATCTTTTAATAATCTCAAGTAAATTTTGAAATCATGACAATCTTGTTATAATTCATACATGCCCAACACTAATAATATAATTTTAACATAGTTACAAAGTAAAAGGTAACAGAGATAATTAACAACATTCCAAACCTGCCAAGTAACTTGTAGCTCAATGACACATCTATTACTCTCCCAAATAAAGAGTCGTAGTACTAAAAAAAAAAAAAAAAAAAACAGCATCCCAATTCCCAAACATTAAACATATATATATAATTAACTAAAATTTTGCTGTAGCAACTGATCTAACACAACACTTAAAACATGTTGCCCTCCCCCCACTACACCCAACCTAGGAAAAAACTCTTTTTTTTTAAGTACTAAACAAACAACTAAACCTGGTCACAAAAATGCTGCTTATTATTAATAGAACTCTGGGGCCTTGCCACATACAGTGGTCTGCCATCTCCCCCAAACACCACAACCACCTTAGGCTCAGGATCCAAAACCCTAATCTCCATTTCTTGCTTCTTCTTCTTCTTCTTCTTCTCATCATCTCCTTCTGATAATACTGCAGCAACAGCAGCAGGGTCATCATCCTTGTGGCTGAACAGAAGAAACAGTAATGAAGTGGCAATAATTGCCACAACGATGGCAACCCCACAGTACAGATATGGCAGTGGGGTGTTCCACTGCCAAAACCCACCACCACTTGCTTCTTCATCTGCAAACCCCATTTTTGTTTCTGTATATATATATGTTTGTGTGATCAAGAAATGGGTGTAAATCATCCTGTTTTATACTCGATCAGAGGAATAACTTAGGCCAGTACAGTGCTTTATGCAACAACAATTAAGAATATAATATAATATTCTCCTATTAATAAGTACGAGAATCATGATGTTCCTTCTGCGTCAGAGTAGTGGACATTATCCATTGATTTCTCTAACTAGATAAGAGCGTTACATAAACAATAAATTTACATGCATATATATTCTAACATATCATATAATTCATGGAGATTAATAACAATTGATTTAAAGCATGACATGCACTATAATAATGTTATATATATATTGTGAAAGTTAATTAGTACTATATTGGTGAAAGAAAAGTAGCTAGCTAGCTAGGTGAATCCGAATATGTCTGGTTAGGTCATTATCATGATAAGTGATCGAGATTGCCAGTAGCCTAATATTCTCTCTACCTTCTCCACTAAACTATTAACTTCCATATAATGCATCTTCATACTTCACCATGTTTCTACTTTATGCCCAGGTATGATAGATGTTTGATTCCCCCATACCATAATATTATGAGTATATTTAATCTCACCAAACTTTCTCATCCGAATTTAACTTTAACTAACCCAAAAATGGGTGGCCGAGTAGGTGAACCACGATTGTCGTATCTGAAGGAGTGAAGATCACGAATTCGATTCTTACTAACGCCCTCTCAGTCGAGCCCACCGCACATGGTTTTCTTAATGTAATTTAATTACCTCTTCTGTACTATGTAGTTTGTGAACTATTACAGAAGAGTAGCTAGGGCTCACCTATGTATAATTAACCTCGAATAGTGGCTGGGTATTTTTCTCGTAATATAAAAAAATATATTTAATTTTAAGTATGATTCCAATGGATAAGACCAAATAGAGAATATATACCATGCTGCTACTATTTATATATGGAGGACAACTTGTCTTTTTTTTTCCCTAGCATTATAACTCTAATCGTTTATATATATATATATATATATATATATATATATATATATATATATATATATATATATGTAAAAACAATACCAAGAATCTTTTCACTGAATGTCAGTTGATAATTAAGCCTTAATTACAATGCTAATTGCAAAGAATATATCTTTATTCTAAAATAAAAATAAAAATAAAAAAATTGACTTTGCCCACCCGGTGCCCCCACACAAGACCCGACAGAATTGTAGATGTGTAAATCACGGTGACTTAATTCTTCCAAAGCTGAACCCCAACCCTAAGGGCCCCCCACACCCCGGCTCGACAGAGCATTTGGGAGGATAGGGTGACTTAATTAATCAGAATTTTGCTCACTGCATACAAGGAGCTCCCACACTGTCACTAGTGAAATTGGGATATCTGAGTTCTTGTGACAAATTTTACCAATGTGACCAGTTGAGCTGTCCATGCGGGCAAGTCAAATCTCCTCGGTATGCCGGGAAGGCGAGGGCGCCGGCGTTGCTAGGAAGGTGGGAGCATTGTCTCCGGCCATGATAACGACGACGGTGTGGTCAGCACTGGTGACGCTACCCGCGGCCACCTCTTTGTCGCCGTCGTTTCCGACCGATGAATCCGATGCAGGTTTGCATTCAGAGCAGAAGAAGAGAAGCAAATATGCAACCATGAGACCCAATAGTAGTAGAATGGTAGCAAGGAAAATGTAAGCTGTTATGGTACCCAAACCCAAAACTCCGTCCATCTCGCCGGAAAACAGTTCCCAGAAAACAGCTTCAATGATTATAGTTCACAGAACAATAGTTGAACACACACATATATATGTGTATACGGTTTGGTTATATGAACATGACAAGAAATGGAACGGGCGAGCAGGAAAGACAAAACATATGTATATTAGTTGACTGATCGAAAAGAACATTCCAAAGGTTGTCCATTTTATATATATAGTTAGTCAATGAGTCTTCCTCTTCCTTTTCTGTATAAGGACAGTATAAGAATCAAAAGAATCCCATTAATTACTAATTAACTGCTCATGTTTAAGAATCCATATGGAAGAGAAAATTAAACATTTCATATTGAATAAATTGAAACAAAATCAAAAGATAGTCAGATAACAGTAAAAATTCCTAGCAGTATCAATATATATATATATATATATATATATATCTATATTGCTTCTATCACATTTTCACATAGTGAAGAATGGAAGGCATACATGAATACTCAACATGCTATATATGATGTTGCATGCGGGTTGTTAACAGAGTATATATTATCTCTCGTCTCGAGCTCTTCAGTGAGAAAACTTGGAGATCAACCTGTCAACATGAATTATAATGTCACCTATGCGTGGTCGGACTGTTGCTTGAGGCTGAAGCATCCACGTCACAAACTGCTGAAGGGCTTCGGGATAGGAAGGACCGGTGGGCCCAGTTGGCCATTTTACCTGAGCATTTACAATGGCCAACTGTAGACTTCCACCGGCTTCCCCAAGTGCATACTCAAAAGGAGACACTCCATACCTACAGACAAGAACCACGAATGATGCAATTACACCGTTATTTCTCATCAGAACCTCATATGACAAATGATCATAGATGAGTATCTCAAAACGAATTCAAGAAAGTGGGGTACTGTCACATTAAGCGTGCTCACTGGGTTGAGGTGAATTTCATATATAAGGTCACAAAGTTGATATTCAAAAGAAGAACCAAAAGTGACAATATGCAAGAAGAGATATGCCTTACATTATTGCATATAAAGTGCAGCCTAATGACCAAATATCAGTTCTTTCATCAATATCAGATTGGCTTGGGCAATCCCAAAGTTCAGGAGCTCGGTATGGTGCTGAAACATGCTCAGCTGCCCATTCCTACAAAATCAAAACCCACAAAATGAAAGTGAAATTAACAATTTGATTTCATAACGCAATTGTTGGATGCTAATATTGGAAAGTGTGCCTAGAAGGTATAGGGTAAAAAGAAATTTTGGAAGCATGGAGTATTAGAAACACCTGCAACTGCAAAGCCTCTGAACGAGAGCGTATTTGCCTTCTTGCAGGACGAGCACTTCCAAAATCCATCAATATTGCAAGGGGCGGCTGACCTTTTATATGTGTCAAAAGGACATTGCCAGGTTTTAAATCATTGTGTGCATATGGTGGATCAAAACTGTGCATATAATCAAGTCCTGCACAAAGCTGAACACAAACTCCTCTTTCAATTAAGGCTCAAGGCACATCGATCCTCACATCTTTATAAACACAAAATCAATTAGATAATTCTTGGTTAGTGTTCTGTTAACCTGGCGGAATATTTGCAGAACATCAGAAGTGGAAAAGGACTCCCTCTTTGCTTTCATGGTTGTGGCATTGTCCAACAAGGTTCCATCCATATGGACGGGAAACAGCAAGTACGCTTCATGCTTCCAAGATTGATCTTGAGCGGCCGCCTGGCGAAACATAAAAAGGTTCTCACAATAGAATGCATTCAAACCAAATATATCTATCTTGAAGGTTAAACAAAAAAAAAAAAAAAAAAAAAAAACAGCAATCAAATGAATGCATCCATCCAGTCTAATTAAGAATGTTCTTTCTCAATCCCAAGAGAAAATCAATATAACCTCCAAAGTTGATACCTTTTACACGAAAATGCATAGCAATTACCTTGACATTTATGATAGCATGATCAAGGAGAGGAAGCAGATTGGGATGAGTAAACAGAGAAGAAACACGGATCTCCTCCCTAACCAATTCCAGCTGTTCACTATTCTGAATCAGAACTTTCTTCATTGCATATGTTCCATCATCTTACAAATCAAACCCCAATAGTACAATTAGGGCACAATTACAACAACAAATCACAATGCAATCCAATTCTCTAATGAAAAGCTATAAGCTTTGCCATCAATTCACCAACCAATCATCAAAAATCATCCCACAAACGACGCAGAAATCAAAAAGACTAACCAGAGACATGAGAAGGGTCCTTGAATTTCTTGGAAACTCCGGGCACGGAGGGGTTGGAGAGGACCTCCTTGACGAGAAAGACGTAGGCGAAGCCACCCTCGCCGAGCTGGCGGAGGATCCTGAATCGGTTCTCATTGATCCAGACATCGCCTCCGCTGTTAGCGGCGTCGTACAGAGCGTTCAACCCAGAAAATGAACACCCCATCTTTTTGGCTATCAATGGCGGTCTCGTCTCGTCTCCCTGTGGATCGCTCGCTGCTTTGTCTTGTTACATAACAACCATTCTTCACTGCGTCCAGTTTTTCTCTTTATATGAATTATTATGATCGACAGTTTCGTTTATAATATTTATATTTGGTGATATACTGAATTTTCCATTTTATAAATATAGTAATACATTTAATTAGTACTGCCATTTTGTTTTCATTTCTATATTTCTTTTATTATATACTTTTTTGAATATTGCTGATTCTATTACCTTTTATTATATACTTATAATTGGGCTTTTAACACTAAATATTAAATATGCTTTTTTATATAACTATTTTATTAATTTAAACATTTGGCTTGTAATAATAATTATATATTAGTACCTATTTACCTACAATATTAATAGATTTAATTAACAACAAAATCAATAATTAAAAAATTAGATACAAAGTGTAAGGCTTTAAGAGACAGAGTCTTATATTAATGACTTTTGTAATGTGATTACAAGATGGATTGTAATATCTTAACAAGATAAATATAAAAAATTTATACAACTTTAACTTGTAATTGACTCAAAAAATGGTAAGCGATTAACGTCATTTTAATCACGTCGATACGCTCCATCAGCCCTTGCTCTTAAATTGTTGAGGCTGAGCATTAGGCTCGGCTTTGGGCGCCTAGGGCCGAGCTCGACTATGGGGTCTCGAGACTGATTAAATTTATCTTGATTCGTTCTTCAAAATTAACTTGTTCTGAACCTATTTCAATATATGCATCAAATATAAATATAAATATAAATATTATAATTAAAGTGAAGACTTTTAAGATACTTTTAAGCTAAGTCGGACCTCTTCAGCTTTCTTTAGTCTCTTTGGTCAACTGTCGACGATGACAACACCACACAACTGAATAGATAAAGATTAACTAATGATTGGGAGAAGAAAATTAACTAAAAATGATGAGTCAACCGTGTTCGGATTACTGTTACTGATCGACTTCGATTTGTCCGATGTGTGAACCATTATCGGATTAACAATCGTTACTTCCTCTTTTCCCTTCCACCGCTCTAAAAACCCCATCTTTCTGCTATTATTTCATCCATCATCCACACACACAGTTCTCTGCAGTCTCTGAAACACAAAGGTTTGTGTTATTTAGTTTCCAGAACTTTTTTTTCTTTTTGATTGTTTGCTATTGGGTATGAAATTTTTGCTTTCTGGGCAGTTCTCGAAAATGCTAGTGTTTAGCTGATTATTTTCTGTTGAATTAAATAAGGTTTGATCTCACTATGTTTAGCTCAAAAGCATTTTTTTTTATGGTGTATTTGGTCATAAAGTTTCTGCTTTCTGGGAAATCTGGTGGTTATTCAATTGAATGATTCTGATTAGCTTTTGCTGAATTTGATCTCACTATTTTGCCTGCCTGCAAAGTTTATGCTTTCTGGGGAATTCTTGAAATTGGATAGTTAAGTAAAGGTTTAAACTTTAAAGACATCATTGATAGCCTATTTGCTTCTGGATTGAATAGTTCTGCTCACTTTCTGCTTTGATAAGTTGGTTGTGTGGTCTAAAAGTTACTCTTTTTTTTGGGAAAATTACCTAGCTTTTGATTAATGAATTATGTGAATTGGATTTCCTTGTACAGTTTCATAGGTTCCTGTTTGATTCTCATTAGTTAGGCCTTTTGTTGTTGTTGTAGAATATTAGAGATATTGATGGCTCAGGATAGTGTTTCGAGTCTTGAATCACCCAGGAAAAGATCTGGCTTACTGAGAGATCAAGTCCAGCTGGTGAAAAGAAGGGACACGGGTCGTTATGAGATTGTCCCAATTCAAGATACTCTGTCATTTGAAAAAGGATTCTTCATCGTGATCCGGGCATGCCAATTGTTGGCTCAAAAGAACGATGGAATCACGCTGGTTGGAGTGGCAGGCCCTTCTGGTGCTGGAAAGACTGTGTTTACCGAAAAGATTCTCAACTTTATGCCTAGTATTGCTGTCATAAACATGGACAACTACAACGATCCAAGTCGGATTATCGATGGAAACTTTGATGGTTACTTACAAAACATTCCACTCACGAGAAAATTACTTGTTATTTACGCTAACGAGTGGTAATTTTTTAAACAGATCCACGCTTGACGGACTACGAAACTTTGCTCGAGAATATCCGAGGCTTAAAAGCTGGAAAGTCTGTTCAAGTTCCTATATATGACTTCAAATCTAGTTCTCGTAGTGGATACAGGTCAACCATTTCTTTGCTTTCCGAACCTTATGTTAGTTTGTTGCTAGCTTGTTATTCGTTGCTTAGAATAGTTTCTTGTATCGTGGTTCCATTTGACAGGACGGTTGATGTTCCCAGTTCTCGAGTAGTACTCATTGAAGGGATTTACGCCTTGAGTGAAAAGTTGCGGCCCATGATAGATCTTCGTGTCTCAGTCACCGGTGGAGTGCACTTCGACCTGGTAAAACGGGTTCTTAGGGACATTCAACGTGTTAACCAAGATCCAGAAGAAATAATACATCAAATCTCCGAAACGGTTTGGCTGCAATTATTATTATATCTCACTTTATGGCATTCATTTTTTCGAAAAGGTTGAATCTTTACATGATTCGTGCTGCATTTTGCTGTGAACAGGTCTACCCGATGTACAAGGCCTTCATCGAACCAGATCTTCAGACAGCCCATATAAAAATCACCAACAAGTTTAACCCATTCTCCGGGTTCCAGAATCCCACTTATGTTTTAAAGGTAATTAAGCACTAAGAATCTCGACTTTTCTTATTTTCACTGTCTATCTCTGAGTGAATGCATTTTCTTTTGTAGTCTTCGAAGACGGTCCCACCAGATCAGATCAAGGCTGTTCTTTCCGAGGAACACAAAGAAACCAATGAAGAAACATATGATATTTTTTTGCTGCCCCCAGGTGAAGATCCCGAAGCTTGCCAATCGTATCTGAGGATGAGGAACCGGGATGGCAGATACACTCTCATGTTTGAGGTACCTGTTAAAAAAGCATTAGTCTTTAACTACTACATAGTACATAGGACACCATTCTGTATGTTTTTTTCCTTAAAAACGAGACCATTGTGTATCATACCTTATAACGTCATTACTATCAGGAATGGGTGACAGATCCTCCCTTCATTATATCACCTCGAATTACTTTCGAAGTTAGTGTGCGTCTTCTTGGTGGCTTGATGGCCCTAGGGTACTCCATTGCGTCCATCTTGAAAAGAAGCAGTCACGTGTTCTCCGATGACAAGGTTTGTGTCAAAACCGATTGGTTGGAGCAACTGAATCGACACTATATTCAGGTATCGTAATTACAAAGTTACTAAGCTATGTTCGTACTGTATTAAAATCAGTGTTGCAAAAATCGCGCCTAGGCGGTCCCCAGGCGCCTAGCGATTTTTTCAACATTGATTAAAATAGTAATTCTATGTTCTGCTGATGCAATGTTAAAGGTGCAAGGCAAAGACCGTTCATATGTCAAATGGATTGGCACACAGCTGGGGCTCGAAGGTTCTTACATCCCTCGCACTTACATCGAACAAATTCAACTGGAAAAGCTTCTAAATGATGTTATGGTATGATATACTTAACAATTTATAGGTTTATGAGTTATGACCCCTTCCAAAATGAGACAAAATCCTCGGTCTATAACTTTTCAGGCTTTGCCAGCTGATCTTAAGACGAAACTAAGCATTGATGATGATACGGTCTTGAGCCCAAAAGAAGCTTTGTCTCAAGCCTCGGCAGATAGGAGAATGAAGTTTCTTAATCGGTAAGTCTTGAGTTTTTAAAATCACAATGTAGAGTAAGATATGAGCTAAATTTACGATGCTTTCTTGTTAGTAACTAATCTTGGTATAAATTTTGGGCAGCGGTATGTCGCTCTCATTTTCAACGCAGCGTGAAAAGCATCTTAGCAAACTGACAAAACTTGCGGTGAATAATAGGAGATACGATGTAAGAACTCCCGATTCACCAGCAGTTGCTAACCAGGTAAAATCGAACATGACAATTTATTAGCCAAGAAGATGGTGAACCCGGGAAAGAAGAAGGTGTACTATTCTCTAACCAAGTCATTCTTTTCTTTTTCAGGGTGCAATCACTCGGCTTTCTGAACAGATCTCCACACTGAGTGAGCGAATGGATGAGTTTACGTCTCGGATAGAAGAGATTAGCTCAAAATTGTCCACAAGGAGAGGCATTTCTGCTAGTCAGCCAAATTTGACGGTGTATCCAGAAGTGAGCAATGGATCAGCGCCTACTACGCTTTTTATGGCGGGTTTAGGCAATGGTTCGTTGACTAGCTCTCTGTTACCTCATTCATCATCGTCTTCTCAATTGGCACGGGAATCTGTCATGGAAGAGGTATTTGATGATCCCGACTAAAAACAGCAGTGTTGCAAAAATCGCGCCTAGGCGCTAGGCGGTCGGCCTCCTAGGCACCCTAGGCGCTCTAGGCGGTCCCCAGGTGTCTAGAGGGCGCCTAGCGATTTTTTCAACATTGAAAAACAATGAATAGAATAACGCAATTTGAACGTGGTTTGAAGTTCTATCCGGATTACAGGTTGTTGCGATTGCGAGGGGACAACGACAGATCATGCACCAGATAGACATTCTAAGCAATACCATACGTGAGACGTATGGCGAGAGGTCGCACCAAGAAAGAAGAGGAAGGCAAGAAACGGGAGCAGATATTGAATCAATCGGCATTCCTCTAATCCTCACTTTGGCGATTGGTGGTATAGGTATCTTCTTGTTCAGAACCCTGTCATCATCTTAGAGGTCAACTCGGGCGCCAAATTATATATTCGCAAACACGTACTACTATACCAAGCCATACATGTAGAGATAGATAGGGAAACCACCTCCCGTTGTCAACTGACAAGATAACTTTTCGTGTATCTGGGCTCCTATTTCTCTCATAGGTCAGCTGCAGTTGTTGGACTTCATATTTAAAACAGCGGTCAGCACTGCAAGAAAGTTTTTATCTTGAACCTTTCTTGTTTAGTTTACTGAGCAAAGAAGCGACTCGTCCCAAGGCCGGTGTGGGTTTTTATGATCCCCCGGGATTTTCAGAGATCTTGCTGCAACTTCACACCAAAATCATTCTTCTTCATTTTGCCTAATGAAAACGAGAAACAAAGGTATGGGGAATGTGGTGTAGTTGTAGTTCTTTTGAACACTTTTATAATGCAAAATCCCTTTAGTCTTCTGTCTGTTCTTTCATCATGAGTGGGCTAATACAGGCAAAATATTCATTGAAGCAGTAAAGAACTCATTTTTCACAAAACTTCTGAAAAACAAACTTATTCTTCAAGAATAATATTCTTTGATTGTTCTCCTGCTACCTTTTCCTACATGATTGAACATAAATGAGTTCTAGCTATAGTCTAATCAAGAATGCATCTTCTCATGGCGCCCTGAACGCTTCTCCAGCATAGCGAACGTTCCCAAGTTCCTCTTCTATGCGTAGAAGCTGCGACGAGATTGAAATAAGCACAGATTCAGTCATGTATGTCAAGAACACAGGAAGGTGAAAAAGTTTTCATTTTTGGAGAGAAGAAATCAAGAATCAGAGAAAGGGAAAATGCCCATCTCAATTCTCACCTGGTTATACTTGGCTAGACGTTCACTTCTGCAGGGAGCACCTGTCTTGATCTGCATAATAAGAAAGATTAAAGATAAGAATGATGAGAGATGATCTTTAAACATAGTAAAGGCTAAAGTGAAGAGAACCTGTCCACTGGCCAAACCAACAGACAAATCTGCAATGAAATTGTCCTCGGTTTCACCACTTCGGTGGCTAACCATCACACCCCACCCAGCTGCTTTGGAGTCTAATGCTGCTTGAATCGATTCAGTCACAGTACCTATTTGGTTAACCTGCAAACCATTTAAAAGATAAAAGCCTGAGAAGAAACAGAAGAATTTGTTTCATAAACAAAATGTACAGAGAGGTAAAACCACATACCTTCAGTAGCAAAGCATTGCAAGCCTTTTTCTGAATGGCTTCAGCTATTCTCTTTGGATTTGTGACCAATAAATCATCACCCACAAGCTGGATATCCACGGCGGATTGCAGTGCTGCCCATGACCTCCAATCATCTTGGTCAAAGGGATCTTCGATTGATACAATAGGGAAATCTTTCACAAACTGCTTGTATAGCTCGCAAAGGTTCTCGGGGGTAAGCACATGAGCGCCATTGTTTGGCTGATTCTTGAAGTCAAGATCATACTTCCCGTCTTTGGTAAGGAACTCTGATGCTGCAACATCCATGCCTATTTTGATCTGTACAAGGTTGTTTTAGACCACGATTGCCTCAAATGCATTGTTTGAAAAGAAACAAAAAAGACTCTTACTTTGCCAGTGTAACCCGCTTTTTCAATTGCATCCATTAGCAATACCAATCCCTCCCTATTATCCTGCACATTTGGAGCAAATCCCCCTTCATCCCCAACATTACATGCATCTTGCCCATATTTTGCTTTGATGATTCCCTTGAGGGTGTGATACACTGTTCCGATAATAGCACAGAGTATAAACAAATTTAAGCCTAATAATAGGGCAAATACTACATCCTAAAGCAACAACTCATCAGAAATCAAGTTACAGCCTTCCAGGCAATGTTGAATAAATCGCTAGGCGCAATTTTTGCAACACTGCTTACAGGTTATCAAGTACAGACATGAATATACATATATATAAGATCAAGAAAGAACTTCACGAACCTTCACTGCCCATTCGAAGGGCCTCAGCAAATGAGGTAGCTCCAACTGGTAAGATCATGAATTCTTGCATGGCCAGATTGTTACCAGCATGACTGCCTCCATTGATGACATTGAATGCAGGAACCGGCATGACGAGCTCTTTGGTTCCTGATAATTCTTGAATGTGTTTGTACAAAGGTATGCCCTTTGCTCCTGCACCAGCTCTACACACACTCAAGGAGACTCCTAGGATTGCATTTGCTCCAAGTTTGGATTTGTTTGGAGTTCCATCAATCTCCAACATAAGGGCATCAACATCTGCCTGGTTCCTTTGTAAAGATTTGGAATTTATACATAATTCAGTGGCTTAAAATTATAAGATGGCATAATTGATTGACAGAAAGATATGCTCATGTGTTACCTAATATCAACTCCGACGAGCTTTGGACCCAAGATTTCATTGATATTCTTCACAGCATTTAAGACTCCTTTGCCTCCATAAACACTCTTGTCACCATCTCTGAGCTCCAAAGCCTCGTAGATCCCGGTGGACGCTCCACTGGGCACCGCCGATCGGTAGAGCGCATCATTGCCGCCGTCAGTGACCAGATCAACTTCCACAGTCGGGTTCCCCCTGCTGTCAATGATCTGCCTCGCCTTCACGGACTTCACCTTGGCCGCCGCGGGTGCCGCGGGCGCCGTGGGAGCCACCGCCACGGAGGAGCATCGGATTGCAGATTGCCCCGGACGAACCTTAGAGGTGGCGGGCAATGAAAAGAGGGTTTTTTGAGAAACGGGGTTCTTCCAAAAGATCGGCTTTGATAGCTGAGCTGAAGCTGGAGCTAAAGCCATCGTATAAATCTTGCTTCTTTAATTATGTATGCGCAGAGGGAGAGAGAGAGAATGGGAATGGAGATCGGAGAGCGCTGAATGTATATAAAGAAGAAGAAGGTGAAAAGCATAGGGCAATCCGTCTGGCGGCGAAGAAAACAGAGAGAGAGAGAGAGAAGAGAGAGAAGAGAGAGAGGTTGGTGAAAATGGTGAATTGGTGATGGTTGGTGCATTGGAAGAGACGTTATAAGCGGGTAGGTGTCCCAATTAAAATAAAATATAAATCCTTCTTGGAATTTGAATATGAATAATGTAGTTGAATCGAATACAAATAAAATTTGAGATTTGAATATTTAACGAATACGAATAAGAATAGTCTCTAATATAGACGAATTCGAATAGAACAGCTTGATATTTGACTCAATTTCATTCGTTTACAAGTTCAATAAAGACATAAAGTTCTGATTTTTTTCTTTTCCAATTTGCTCAATAAAATCATAAAAGGAGACTACAAAAATACATTCTTTAAAAAAGAAAAAAAAAAAAAGGGTACTGTGAAATGTGAATACTGAATAGCATTCGGATTAATAAAATTTCTAAATTGTATTGATCTTTTGGTTCTTTTAGTCTTGTAAAGCTTGAAGAAGATATCTACTGAGCCCAAGGCAAGGAGCCTGGATATGGAGCTGTTCCACAGTATCTGAACAAGCCTTCAATTTCAGGGCACCCATTGGGGTAAGGAATTGTACGATGAAAGGGATCCCGCCCCAGCTTCTTGCGAGAGAGCGAGCCTTTGCATCCATAAGGATCATCCTCAAACTGGGTTCTCACAAAGGCCTCGCCTTTCAGAGCTGCTTCCCTTGAAGTTGGCGAGGATGGAGTCCCCGAGTAAAAGAATCTGGTTTCTGGAAATCTCATGGCAGTGCGGTGCAGATGCTCAAATCTCTCGCTCTTGAAGTCATAGCCTACAACCTGCATTTTGATCAAATCTCAGAATATGTTGCTCCCCTATTCATAATCTATCAAGGAATGTGTTCTTGTTGGATTAAACTCGTGACATAAAAAAGAAGTTGAATGAAGTGTTCCATGGAATTTATAGGTCAATCCATAGTAAACGATTGAATGTACAAATTCAAATGCACAGAATGTAAAAAATGGCCTTACTGTTATATTCTGTGGATAGGAACCAGTAAGTTCCCTGAACCGGCAAACACTAAAAAGAAGATTCTCAAAACTGTCTCTTGCGTGTTCTTCAGTGAGTGCCCGCTCTCTCACACTTTCTTGGTTGCCTGCACAGAATTGTGTCATACGACTTCAATATCATCACACAATTGCAAGAAGAACTCGATGTTTTGAATTGAAATTTATGGATATAAAACTTCCTTGTATAAATGCATCTAACAATTAGAAGGGATCTGGCATAGTCATGTTAACAAAGATAGAAGACATTTAAATTACTGTAACAGAGAGAAAATCCTTCCTAAGATATAAATCTTTGCTTCTGGCACCGAATTGAAGCATGTGTTCCATCTCAACTAAAAGCCTAAGCTGATAGTTGGATTGCACATTAATGGTTATATGCTCAACAGACTTCATTTATGTGCTATACATGGACCCAGTATAAAGCAAATGTGAGTACTCAAAGCAATGTAAGAAGCAAGTTTAATAGAATTGATAACAGATCAAACAAATAGCTCAGTTCTGAGCGTTTCGTGACTTTATGTTGATCAGTTTCTTCCCGTAAGTTACAAAGTAGAAACGTGGAAAAGAGGAAAGTTATCATCTTGGAGAAAAAAGCCCATAAATTAATTTAATCCGTCAAAAAACTAATTCTAAATACCAAATGCATATTAGAAAAATTATAATTCACTCATAATCAAAGAAACTCTCAAAGTATCCTAATCGTCTCTCACAAACCAGAATACGAAATCCAAAGATTTTAACTTTCCTAGAGCCCAGAACATTAGAGAAATCAGAAGAACTCACCAAACCATCCTTTAGATTCGGCAACAACCCAATAGCTTTGTGCCTCGCTTCTGGGCCCAGCCTCTTTCCTTGTCTCACCACCGCTGAACAGGAGCAATGCTGCATCATCATTTGCTGTTATTTCAACACCCTTCTGTATATGCATGACAAAAGTTGCAGCTTGGCCAGGATGCTTCTGATACGACTCCAAAAACCAAGCATTTTCCTTATCAACCCCCTCACAACTACTACTCGTATAAACCGAATGCCCAGCAACCATTACTAGATTCTTAAACTTGGCAAATGGATAGACTTCTATACCCTTGTTGAGTTTCTTATAGCTACCCATCAGTCGAAACTGGGTTTCATAGGAAGATAACATAACGATAACTATAATTGCAATACCGAAGGAGATCACAAACAGCAAAAGCGGGCAAACCTTATAATAGTACTGTATCTTGTTACCTAAAGACTTGAGCATTTTGATTGGATGAAAAGGCGAACTTTTTAGCTTTCTGGTTCTTTTGAGAATTCCAGATTCCAGGTCAAAATCACCCCTGGGGTAGGCTTGGAAGGATTTGGGACTACCAGACCCAAATGAATGGTTTGTCCTCATATAGATTGAATCCAATTTATGAAACAGCAAATGATGAGGGTTCAGGCATACCCAGAAAGAAATCAAACCCAATAAATCAATGGCAATGGCAGCATGAGATCACCACCAAAAAACAGAGATCGAAAATCAACACAGCATGAAACTACTGCTAAAAAACAAATCTTTTACTAGACCCGGAGCAGAAATTCGAGAAATAACAATGGTAAAATGGAATCCCAAATTCCAATAGAACCTGGAAACGCGTGGAGAGGAAGAACACGATCAAGAAATACCCAGTTGGAGAGTGAGCCAGGTGAAAATTCAACTGTACCTGGGCGATTTTCTTTGAACAGTATGCGAATCAATTAGCATTTAGCAGAGAATCACAGCATAGATATTCTAATTGATCAATTACTCATCCTAAAACCCAAATCACGAAATGAGAGAGCCACTGGAGCTCAAGAACTCACCGGTAAGAGAATTGATAGTCTGATTTACAAAGTTATTGTGAAATCAGGTCAGAATTTGCTCAAGTTACCCGCGGAGACCTTTCAATGATCATGAATCGTAAATGTTTATAGTGTAAAAAACGCAAAGGTGATAGGACTAATAAAATCATTTTTCTTTTCTTCTATTTTTGGTTTTACTTTTTTTCACATTTCTTTTCTTCTATTTTTGGTTTCATTTTTTTTCACATTTCTTTTTTAGTAATACTAACTCTATTACATTATAGTGTACATATTTTCTCTCATTTGAAAAAATTATAGAGGTGCCAATAAGCTATGCGCTACTTAAAAAAAAAAAAAAAAAAAAAAAAAAGGTCTCGTGTCCAACCAGATAACCATGATCACATTGCAACCAAGTAAATATTTAGTTGTTTTTTTATTTACGGAAAAATTTGTAACTATTAGACAAAAGAAGATTATACGTGAAGCTCGTGACCCTAATCAACAAATCACTATAATGATGTCTTTGTCCCAGCGAATCTTTCCCTTGCTAGATGAGGTGTCACATGAAAAACAAATTTTTTAAATATGATGACATGGTTAGCAAACTCGCTACTACAGCGAGTTTGCTAACTTGACAAAAGGTCGTCTACTGCGGCAGCGTTGTGTACTTTATTTTTTAAAAAATATATTTGGTTTCGTTGTAAGAGACTCGCAAGGTGCGTTCGTGGCAGCAGCAAGCTCATCATGGTCAGGAATTCTCGAACCCAGAATTGCAGAATCTATTGCCATCAGAGAAGCGCTAAGCTGGTCAAAACAGAAAGGCTTGGACACTTTTTGCGTTGAATCTGATGCTCAGCTGGTCATTCAAGGAATTAAATCTCATGGCTGCAACTCTTATTTTGATCTTGTTCTTAATGACATTTGTGATTTAGCTAGTGTTTTTTCTAACATTAGCTTTTCGTTTGTTAAGCGATCCGCGAATTCGGTTGCCCACTTGTTAGCTCGGGATGCCGTTTCTAATGCTGGTCGCAGGGAGTGGAATGTTTATCCCCCTTCCTTTGTATCTGTTGTTCTTTCGGCTGAAGCCGTTTAATGAATGATCTCTCGGTTTCCTCAAAAAAATATATATATATATTTTCTCATTTTTTAAAATTTTTATTTATTTTATTTTGATGTGATTTGATTATGTGAATATGACTCTTTTTTTAAGTAAAAAAAGTACTCCAGTGATGTAAAAAAAAATAGTAAATGAATTGCAAATTTACTAATGTAGAATTTTTAAAAGGGAAAGAGTATTGCATGAATAAGGACAACCTAATAAGGTACATCAACATAGGTTAGTCATAACAGACCCGTTCAAACAAAAAAGACCAACAAAGAGCTCTCATGAAGAGTTGAATTTGAAACTTTATAATTATCAATCTAACTGTTGATCAACTTGGTTAGGATTACCCCCACTATTTAATTGTTCTGGAAGTGGAGTGAGTAAATTAAAACATGATCCCATATCTCGAGCTCACGAAAGTCGTGCTTGTAATATTTGATTCCTAAACAACGTTTAGCCACAAATAATGCGTCTCACATCGATTACTAATGCTTAAGGTTATTATATAAAATTTGAGCCAAATTGGTTCAAATCCGTTGGTAGTTGAGACCAGACAAACCAAGTCCATCAACAAAAATGCCCCCAAGCAGAAAAGGAATAATTCTGTTGGCTTATGTATTGTCACTACATCATGCATTGTAGATGTCCCTTTACAAGACAAAACTCCTTAATCTCCTCAATCTTATGTACTTTCCCATGAATCACTTCTCATACAAAACACATTCTCCCCACCATCTTTAGACCATGTCAACACAACAAGATTTCCACACTCATGTCCACACCATTTCCGAGGCCGGCCGCCTCCTCCCGTCGGCCGGCAGGTGGACCGCCATCGACCTCGACTTCAACCTCCTCCCCCGATCGGCCACCGGGCTCGATTCCCTCCCTTCGAGCTTCTCAAAGTCCATTGATTTCAACCTCACAATCACTGACAAACACCACTTCAAGAGGTTTCTTTACATAGCAGCCTTCCTGCTTCTCATCATCCCTGCATTAGTCCTTCTCCTCCATTTTTTCCCACACAAGAAACACCACAAAAATTCCTCCAAGAATCTCACACTGGCCCTCAACCAAGCCCTCCTCTTCTTTGATGCACAGAAATGTAATTAAAATCATATTTCTCAGACACCCTTTTCTCATCAAGTTACTGTTTTTGTCTGGTTTAATTGGCTTCTTTTTTTTTTTTTTCAGCGGGGCCTTATCGGACGAATGATCTGATCAAATTCCGGGGGGATTCGGGGATGAAAGACGGGAGTAGCAGTGATAAACATCCAGATCTTGTGGGAGGGTTTTATGATTCTGGCAAGAACATAAAGCTGAGCTCCACAACAGCTTATTCTGTGACCTTATTGAGCTGGACAGTGATTGAATATCACCAGAAATATGCAGATTTAGGTGAGCTTGATCATGTGAAAGACATCATAAAATGGGGGAGTGATTATCTCCTCAAACTATATGTTCCTCCAAACATCACTTCTGGGACTTCTGCAATTCTGTATTCTCAGGTCTGCAACTCACTCAACAATATCAGCCTAAAACCACGATTTTTTCGATAATCTTGAATTCATGAAACCTCTGATTTCCAGGTTGGTGGGAACAACACAAACTCAGAAAACGACATAAAATGCTGGCAAAGACCAGAAGACATGACTTACACAAGACAGGTCTCTGTCTGTGATCTTGCAGCCTCGGATTTAGCAGGAGAAATAGTTGCAGGAATGTCTGCTGCATCAATAGTCTTCAGAGAAGATAAAACTTATTCCCAGAAATTAGTTCAAGCTGCAGAGAGCTTATTCACCATGACAAATACCACAGCCAAGAAAGCCATGTACACGACTATAAACCAATGTGGAGGAAACGCGAGGCAGTTCTACAACTCAACGAGCTACAAAGACGAGTTGGTCTGGGGAGGAACTTGGCTGTTTTTCGCCACTGGGAACGAGACTTATCTCAAGTATGCAACCGAGAATCTTAAAGAAGCTGAGGAGGAAGAAGCGGTGTCTGAGAAAGGGGTGTTTTATTGGAACAACAAACTCACTGCTAACATGGTATTTCTGGTTCAGTAGTCTTGAAATTGAGATAATTCATGATGTTTTCAGCAAAGTACTAACTTTTCACCTGGTTTTTGTAGATCCTGCTAACAAGAATCAGATTTTTCAGAGATCTTGGCTACCCTTTTGAGTATGCTTTTGTATCATCAACTAACAGAACTGACCTGCTAATGTGTTCATACACTTCCAATCAAAAGTTCAGTAAGACAGAAGGTATTTAATTTATTTTGCAGTTTCTGCTAACCTAACCACTGCAAATACTGATTTCTGATTTTCTCTAATCTGAAACTATAATCAGGGGGATTGATCCTCTTAAATCCTGACAATGGTGCCCCCCTCCAGTATGCTGTGACTGCATCTTTTCTCAGCAAACTGTACAGTGACTATCTTGAGCTTCTGCATAGGTTCCATGGCAGCTGCAACAGTGCTGTTTTTTCTCTGCAAAACCTCAGAGATTTCTCCATGTCACAGGTAATTAAGACAGCAACCTAAGTGTTGAGATTAACAAGAACAAGAAACAATAATAATGACAAAAAGTAAAGAAGACAAGATTTACGTGGTTCTGCAATCTGCCTTTTATGATGGTGACACAACCCATTAGGATACAACCAATATATTTACAGGCATCTAGTTCCATTGGGTCTAACTATTGAACTATATATGAGATTTTCTTGAAATATATGTTTGCAGGTGAACTACATTCTAGGGGATAATCCTGGGAAGATGAGCTATGTGGTTGGATATGGTGAAAGGTATCCACTTCAGGTTCATCATAGAGCTGCATCGATCCGTTGGGATGATCGTCGATACTTGTGTTCAGAAGGAGAGCAATGGCTGGAGTCTAAAGAGGCAAATCCAAACACCCTTGTTGGAGCAATGGTTGGTGGACCTGATAAAAGTGAGAGTTTCTGGGATGAGAGGAAGCAGCCATGGTTCACAGAGCCAAGCATTTCCAGTAATGCTGGTTTGGTGGCTGCCCTTATTGCACTCCATGCTCCTCCTTCCCATTCTTCTGCTTCAAATAATGGTGTGAATCTAGGCCTAGACAAGTTGGGTTTATTTGACAAAGTTCATTAGGTTATTGAGATTTTCTTGAAATTTTTACTATATGAAGTTAGTTGATCAGTATGAGAGTAATGATGTAACATGTATTTCATTTAAGGAATTAAGATTGAATCCATTAGAGTTATTATGTCTAGAGGTTATTCCACCATATATTTCTTCTCAAAATGTTGAATCTCCAATCCCAAAGGCCCACACACCCCGGTCCAACAAAGTATTTGGGATAATGTAATTAAATCATGATAACTCAACTGAACACAGAGGCTAGACCTTTGCTTACTGCGCACAAGGAGGTTATTCCACCATATATTGGTAAGAGGGGGGGAGGGCGGAGGAGGGGTCTGAGTAGAGCCGTCAAAATGGGCTTAGTCAGCCAGGCTTTCCCGCCCCACCCCGCCAAAAGGGCAGGGCGGGCTCGTGTTTTAAAATCCTGTTTTAAAAACGGGATTTTTTGCCCGCCCCCGCGGGCTATCCGCCAGCCCATTTTTTTTTTTTTTTTTTTTTAAAGTCTAAATCCTAAATTCCTAATCCTAAAATAAAACAAAACTGAAACTAAATAATGCTATTGGTAAGTTATTATGTTTGTTTACAAAATAATGAAATATTTGATTATATTTTAGTTAGTTGATATTTTGGTGTATTGTAATTATTTGATTAAATTTTAGTTATGTTTACAAACTATGAACTTATGTACTTAATTAGTTATGTTTTTTGCTTTTGTGGAGTTTGAACTTTGAATGTTTGGTTTATGAACTTATGCAGTATGGTGTATTGACTATTTAGACTGAATGGACTATATGGTATCATTGTTGTCATGATGTGATGAACTAATTTGTGTTATTTACTTATTTTTAATGATTTGTGAACTTTTTACAAGTATATATAATGTATATTATAAACTTATAATATATTTCAATATTTGAGTAGTTCATTTTAGATTTATTACGTAAGTGATGGATAAGTGTTTTAAGTAGATAACAATTAAGTTATTAACATAGACACTTAGAGTTTAGACTTTAGGGACACATGGTAAATATATATATATATATATATATATATATATATATATATATATATATATATATATATATATATATATATATATAAACTGGCGGGCTTTGGCGGGGGCCAGCGGGCTTAAGGGGCGGGCTGCGGCTACCTAGGCCCGTTTTTAAACCGGGCTTTTTAGCCCGCTCCGCCAAAAGGTGGGCTTTGGCGGGCCCCATCCCGCCAGCCCACATTGACAGCTCTAGGTCTGAGTTCTAGTTTCACTATCGCTTTGACACTCTTTGAGTGTTTAAATGATATTGGCTTGCTCATAATGACTATTAGATTCATTAACCGTCTAAGCTAAACCGATGATGTAGAAGTTCTTATAATATATGAGTTTGCTCTAATACTAAATTGAATGATGTATTCCGTCTTAAATACAAGTCTAAGTTATTAGTTAAATTGATAAGTTATTAGTTGAATTGATTATTTATATTTATATAATATATATGCTGAACAGATAATCAATTCATTCTAATCTTAGAATCTATGATCCAATTCAATCACAATTTGGTCTAATCTCTTTATTTGGTAATAAACAATTACAAATTAAACAGAATTAGAATCAAAATCAAATACTATTAAATCTTGCAAAATGTCCATTGTTGACCAAGTAGGATGCTAGTCACCTCCCTGTTAAGACCTGGCCTAGGAGTAGTCTTGCTTAATTGGGTCAATTCATGCTTTTAATTTCTGGACTACTTCCAACTCATTAATCTTGTTTGTTTAGGGTTTCTATAATAGCTTCCATCTCAATCAATCATACTACTATTATGACACAACAGAAGTTAATTATGATTCGGTCTTAATTGTTAGATCCACACCCGCGCCTATACAAAATAAAATACTATGTGTACTTCTATTTTAATTTCTACTCTCAATTTTTACTCTCACACATGAAATCTTGATGTAAATATTTATATTGAGACCTACATGGAAAAAAAAAATTATTTATCAGTATACCTGCCAGAGAGTAAAATTTAGGGAGTTCATATAGTAGAACTCATAAAATACTGAGTATATATACATTGGTGCAGCATATATGCAACAAACAAAGAAATTATTTCCACTTTGATAGAGTCCAAACTGGTGGAATCTTTCTTTAGTTCTCTCACCAACCTAACAAAGCATTAGGTTGCTCTTTAATTTACCAAAAAAAAAAAAAAAAAAGTTAACCATGTAAGTATTTTTCCTAATATAATATATTATATTAATTAAGTGATTGTGGTGTAAATAAGTGATTGAGTCAATTGATAATTTAATCTGTTAGGTAACTTAGATATTTAGTTTAATTTTAACGAAATATTTAGCTAACAAACCATTATTATAAAAAATACACCAGCTATCCTAGCTGAAAATCTTATATTATTGTCTAATTGGCAAGGATCATATATATAAGGAGATAGTAATAAGTTATGTTTCTAAGATTACATACAAATGTGTAAGAACCTATATATAAATGATTATATCATCATTAATCTAATCGAATAATCTTAATCAGATCTTATTTGAGATATTTTTCATATTGCTCCATGTAATATTGCTTTACTAACTTGGCCACCCTTTTAGAAAATTTTATTTATTTAATTTTAATGCATAGGTATGTAGCTAGGCATATATATATATATATATATATATATATATATATATATATATACATAAGATGGAATAGATTTGGACAAGTTCAAACGCCCGTCAAACAACGAAACCACCTCAAACCTATACATACAACATATCATATAAATTTTATCCATTCAGCCAATAATACAACATAGCTTTTTTCATTCTATTACTGTATATCTTAGTAATTAAGAATTCATTGACTTGGTGCGTTTAAGAATTCTTTCATGTCACTCTATATATACACACTTCCTTGGACTTGCCTTTAACTCAACAGCCACTCATTTTTAACGTGTCTTTCCGATCATGGTTGCTCCGGTGGATGATTTGCCGCCGGATATCTGCGCCGGGAGGTCGCCGAGGCGGGAGCTGCAAGGGCCGCGGCCGACGCCGCTCAAAGTACGTAAAGATTCGCACAAGATAAGAAAGCCTCCGGCGGCGCCGCAGCACCCGAAACCTCCGCCGCCGCCGCCGGTGATCATCTACACCGTGTCCCCCAAGACCATCCATGCACACCCTAGCGAGTTCATGGCGTTAGTGCAACGCCTCACCGGCCCGGACTCCTCGTCAGTAGCCGCGCCGTCCGCCCCATTTCACCACAACTTTAACGGCTCCGACGCCGACCGACCCGGATTTTTTCCGGCGGATTTAACGCCGAATCCGGCATCTCTCCCGCCAATATCATCCAACAACAACTTTTTCTCTCCGCCGTCAGACCAAAACCTTTTAGGGTTTTTCCCTGCAGATTTGAGCCCTCTGGTACACAGCAACAAGAATAACTTAGAAACAAGTTTGATGATAGCTAGCCCTTCACCTTTCTTCATCTCACCCAGGATCATTTCTCCAGGGACTTCATCTTTGGATCTTTTAAGCAATCTGTTTGACCTTCAACACTACAGCTAGCTAGCTTGATCCAAAGAGTTTATGCAGGTTTTTGGGTGATAAATTGTAGCTGACACAGATAGTTCTTGGATGTTACATTATGGGTAAGGACAAAGAAAGATGGAGTTTATGTACTTTTGTTTATGATATTCTGTTTTTATTCCTTAAATCAATCAAATACTGTAATACAATTGCTGAAGTTATTCTTTTAGTGAACCAAACAATTGAATATAATTTTATATTTTATTCATTTCCTTATGAATAACATTCCTATTTGTATGAGTTGCAAACATGGATAGCATCAAAAGAATGAGTATGCCATTACCAAAAGAAGTGATAGAGAATGGGAAAAATCATATCATCGGCATATTTCTTTCACTTATATTCGGGGGAGAGCTAAGCTAAAAGGAGTCAATGAGGCTATTTTTATCCCAGCAAGTGAACCTCTTGCAAGATGTTTGTGGAAAGTAATGTGAATTTTATTTTTTTATATTGTATTTTTTTAAATAAGAGGATTAGAGTGACCTTCAACTCTATTATGGAGTATAAATTATAACACATATGGTGATAACTGAATTTTGGAATACCATTCCCAGTAGAACTGTAAAAAATATATATGCTATAAATATTGGGTGTGTATAAATATATATTGGATATGGGCCCAAGATGAGTTGGCCTGGACTTATGATTAAAAAATGTGTGCATTTTTTAATATATTACCATGAAAAAGCCCATATACTAACAGATCATGGACCAAGCCCAGCGAGCTAGATGTCACAAGCCCAAATCAATGGTCCGATATGGAAGCAAATTAAGGGTGTGTTTGGTTCATGAGTTTACACACTATGAATCGGAATTAAAATTATAGTTAGTGTTTGATTGATAACTTTTAAAACACAATTATGAATTTGATTACCATTTCAATTACAAACTCATTCCCTAGTTTAAAAATGTATAATTCCATCTTATTAGTAATATATGATTTTTAAGTTTCGATTAGTGCTTTTAGATTTTTGTTTTGATTTTTTTTTGTTCATATTGGTGCTTTGGATATCATTATATTATTATCAATTGCCTTAATTTTTAAATTTTTTATATTTTTAAAATTTTTATTCCCATTATAGGGAGATAAATAACCAGACATCAATATTGGTAATCATTCTAATTATACCCTACTACCAAACATGCAAAATACTTTCACCAAAACTCATACCATTATCTACTATACTAATAAGAGCCCAAGAGAGTTAGGCCTATAATGGGTAGAAAAAATGGCGGTCACAGATTTTAATCAAATGAATGGCTCAGATTGATTAAAAGATTGATCAGATTTAAATTTTACACTAAAATTTCCTAAAATACCCACACACCGTTACTAATTCCGTTAAAATTTTAAGAATTGCCGTTAGTTCACCGTTAACTTACTCATTGATTTCAATAAAAAAAAAAAAAAAAAAAAAGAAAAAAAAAAGGTCTTAGGTTCGAACCTCATCCCAATCAAAGTTGGCATAATTAGTACTCTATTTTACTCTTATTAAATTATATATAAATAATAATTTAGTAGTTACAACAAAAAATAATACATATGTTTTTCTTTAATTTAGAATTATGTAGTCTGATCACTCCGCTCTCTTTTTAAACACTGATGTAGTGCGTGGCCGCAGATATGGGGGACCGAAACGATTCCGCTTTGAGATGGCATGGATTCATGATGACGGTTGTCGGAGGGTGGTGGAGACAGCCTGACAGGATGGTAGGGATAAGGGGCTGTTGGATTGTCAGCAGCATTGTGGGGGAAGGCTAATGCAGTGGGGTGGGGAGCATTGGCATAAGTTTGGAGACCGCATCAAGCAATTGAGGAAAGAGCAGGATGAAATACGGCACAGACGAGATTCGGCTGCATTGGCTGAATTTCGCGAGATTGAGGAGAGACTAGTACAGTTGGAGATGCAGGAGGATGTATTTTGGAGGCAGCGGGCGAAGCAGCACTGGCTCCGCGGTGCGAACTGCAATACCAAGTTCTATCACAGGTACGCTTCTGCTCGTAGAAGGAAAAATTATATCCCTAGATTAAAAGATGATATGGGTGCATGGGTGGAGGGAGATAATATGAAGAAAATTGTCTTAGAATATTATGCTGCTATTTTTACATCATCAAACACTGCGTGTGAGGATCCCATGTTTGATAATTTTGCCCCCCGTGTGACTAGTGAGCAGAACGCTAAGCTTCTCCGCCAGTTTGAATTAGAAGAGGTCAAGTGTGCTTTATTTGCAATGTTCCCTGACAAAGCACCAGGACCGGATGGTATGAATCCTGGATTTTACCAAGAATTTTGGGATGTTGTGGGGGGAGATGTGTCTAATTTTATTGTGAATTGCTTGAACTCAGGCTCGTTGCCTGAAGGATTGAATGATACTAATGTGGTCTTAATCCCGAAGAAAGATGTGCCTGAGTAATAGGCATATTTTACACTCTTATTTTAGGTACATCTTTTTAATATTTTTATATTAATTATTTACTATTTTATAATAATTATTTCTTTTTAGAATTTACTAATTAATTAAATAAAATAATTTTTTTGTATTAATTGTTAGGTTTAGTCTTGGGCTTTATTTTTTATATGTTATTCATGAGTCCAAATGAAAGGTTGTGTTTTTGTTGTTGTTTAATAAGGGTCCATTTATTTATTTATTTATTTAATGAGTTCAAGCTCAAGATGCTAAATACTTTACTAATTAAACAAAAGAGTGTTTTTGTTTTGTTTTCTCCCTACGCAGTAGTGCAGCACACGTACAAGCAGGAAGACTTCGTCATTAGCAACGCAGATCACGTACGGACAAATAGCGGAAGACTCGGTTGTACAAGGCTTGGCGTAAAAATAGGAAAATGAATGGTGGACGATAATTCGTGACATGTATAAATAGTGGCAAAGTTTTCTTTGTTAAGGCATTCTTTAGTTCATTCTTTCCTCCTCTATAGTATTCGTTGAAATTGTTATCAATGTCCATTTGTGGCTAATTTCTAGTTGGTTTAGTGAATTGAAGCCCCGGAGTTCATAACGCTGTAAGGTTATTTATTTATTTTTATTATATAATTTGTTTATGCATTTGGGTATTAAATATTCTTCTAAGTTATTTGAATAGTTGTATCATTTAATTGCTAGGGAGGCCTACTAGTTAATTACTTGATATAATTATTTGCTATATTAGATAATGTTGTGCTACAAATTATTCTAATATTCAGTAGCAACTGGGTTAATTATTGACGGCTTAGTGATAATTGGACTCGGGTAGAATATTTTCCTAAATTAAATGCAACCGCTTGTGCTTGTGTTATTTAGTTTGTCGGTTTTCCTAGTTCCTATTGCTGCTATTAAATTAAATCTATAGCGCTTGTCTTAGGTTATTTAGTAGTTAGGGGTAATTAAACCGCTTGTGCTTTATTTACCTACAACTAAGGGAAAACAGAAAGGAAATAATTTCATGACAAATATTCAATTGCATATTAATTACTTTATTAATCAATGATCAGTGTTGAATTCCGGTGGTGGATCTTTACTAACCAAGGTTTCTTATTATAAGTGTTTTCGATATATTATTTTCATTGCTTTATTCGTTCAATTAAATTTCTTGTTTATTTAAATTCTCGTTTATTTTATCTTTATTCTCGATATATTCCAAACCCCCTACCTTTAATTTGAGCACAAAAGTTAAACTAGTTACTCCTCGTGGGATCGATCCTTACTCCCGCTACTACGTTTGTAAGGTTTTAATTTGGGAGCCTACGACAGCTTGCCACTGAGACAGTAGCTGATATGAGACCAATAGATCTGAGTAATGTTCTGTACAGGATCATGGCAAAGGTAATAGCCAACAGGATGAAACCGCTCATGGGGAGCCTCATATCTGAGGCCCAAAGTGCTTTTATCCCTGGGAGACTTATTACTGATAATATTTTGATAGCGGCGGAGGTGGGGCATTACTTGAATAGAAAACAGTGTGGAAGAAAGGGGTGGGCAGCGTTGAAATTGGATATGGCTAAGGCGTATGATAGGATGGAATGGCAGTTCCTGAGACGGATGTTGGAGGTAATGTGTTTTGAGGACCGGTGGATTAATTTGTTAATGCAGTGTGTTACCACTGTCCAGTATAACATCTTAATTAATGGTGTTCATAGTGGAGGTGTAACGCCAACTAGGGGGTTGCGGCAGGGGATCCTTTGTCCCCATATTTATTCCTCATATGTGCAGAAGGGTTATCTGTGTTATTGCAAAGAGCGCAGATGTCTGGCTCAATACATGGTTGCAGGGTTGCTAGGGGAGCCCCCCAGATATCACATCTATTTTTTGCAGATGATAGCCTATTATTTTTTAGAGCAGATGGGGAGGAGGCGGGAGTAATTAAACAGTGTCTGGGACGATATGAAGAGCTCTCAGGACAGAAGGTAAATTATCACAAGTCCAGTGTCTGTTTTAGCAGAAATACCAGTGTGGAGAATAGGGAGGAGGTGGCGGTTTGCTTACAGGTAGACCAGGCACCCAATTTTGGGAAATATCTGGGATTACCATCTTTTGTGGGGAGGAACAAGAGGGCAGTGTTCTCATATATTGAGGATAAGATAAAACAGAGAATAAGCTCATGGAACAAGAAATTTCTGACGCAGGCAGGAAAGGAGATTTTATTGAAAAGCGTGGCACAATCTATGCCTACCTTTTCAATGAGTGTCTTTTTGATCCCGGACTCAGTATGTTTATCAATCCAGAGAACAATGAACAAGTATTGGTGGGGCACTGGTATGAATGGAGGAATACACTGGAAAGCCTGGGATAAGTTAAGCATCCCAAAGAAATATGGAGGAATGGGATTCAAAGATCTCAGGAATTTTAATTTAGCAATGTTGGGAAAACAGGCATGGCGCCTACTCACAAGTCCAGACACACTTGTTGCAAAAGTCTATAAGGCAAGGTACTATCCTAATACCACTTTTATTGATGCCAAAGTAGGAGGATGCCCGAGCCACTCATGGAGAAGTATTATGGCAGCTCATGACATGGTGGTGGCACGGGTGCGCAGGAGGATAGGG